CCGCTGACGATGCACAGGAAGAGCATGGGGAAGCCGGCAGCACGGCGCGTGATCGAGCTGCTCCGCGGCCCACCCAGGGCCTCCAAGCCCTGACAGAGAAACAAAATCCACCTGAGGTGTGGCTGGAAACCTGCAGCTGCCCTGCCAGGAGGGCACCAGCATCTCAGCTGCCAGGAGGGTGCTTGTCCCAGGGAGTGCAGAAATGCCTCTGGTGCTCCCTGGGGAAACAAGAGGCACAATGAGCACTGTACCTGCTCCAGCACAGCCCGTGGGATGGCCTGCAGCTCCGGATCCGGGTGGTTCAGCAGTGCAGAACAGAATTTGGTGAAGCCCATGCTGCAGCCCTCCACTGCTCCCTGGGGCAGAGCAGTGTCAGGACAAGCACCCCAAAGGCTGCACCCACGAGACCCCCATGCCCCCAGACAACTCTTTGAAGGGGAAGAGCAAGTGACAAGACAGGATCGTGTGGGATGTGATAGGGTCTGGCACTGGGATCCCAGCCAGGGGACTTCCAGCCATCCCCATGTCCTGTCCCCCAGCAGACCCTGCCCCACTGCACTTGCCCTCCCTCCCCCAGCATGCCAGGGCAGGGACAGGGCTGCAGGGATGGCCAAGGGCCCAGGTCTGCCCTTACCCAGTGCCGGCATCGCAGCAGGATCTCCTGGAACACCCTGGTGGCCATCTGCAGGGTGGGGAGGGGCAGGAGGGGCCCCACTTCAGCAGGCAGTGCTGGGGAGAGCAGCAGCTCAGCCAGGCCCCCCAGGAGCAGCCCAATCTCCTGGGAAGAAGAGGAAGGTCAGCAAGTCTGGCAGGGAGGAGGAGAAGCTGGGATGGGTGGCAGCAGGGCTGCAAACCAGGTTAGCCTGGCTGTACCACAGCAGGCGACTGGCAGTGTCTGGGAAGAAGCTGGGCTCCATAAGGGCAGGGAGAGGGCTGCTTTTGGGAGCCTGCTAGCTGCATCGTTCCTGGAAGGGGGTGAGGACATCTGTGAGAGCACTGAAGTAAGGACAGAAATTCTCCCCTGTTCATCCCCAGGGAATGCCCCAGGGGGAGGTGAAGCTGGGGAAGGCTGCATGATGCGTGGCACGCTGGGCTGTCCCTCTCCCAGTGACATGAGGAGGAGTCCCCACCTTCACTGACACCCAGCAGCACGTCAGGATCAGGCTGTGCTCCTCTGACAGCAGGACTGAGTCACCCTCCTCTTCCTCTTGCCCCTGGCCCTTCCCCAGCATGATGAGGGAGCCAATGGCATTGCCCATCTCTGCAAATGATGGGGCAGCAGCTGCAAAAGGAAAAGCCAGGTCTGAGCAGGGTGTAGGCAGTGTGAGGGGGATGCTGCTGGGGTTTGGGAGGACCTGCTGTCCTGTCAGAATGCACACAAATGCACACAAATGCAATGGCTCCTGCCCTGCCACATGCCCGTCAGGAATGCAGCTGCATTTTTCCCACTGCTCTTTCCAAGGCCTGTAAGGTCTCTGCCAGCCCCTTCTTTCCCAACTGTTTCCATCTGGCAGGTGCCTTGCTGCTCCTGGAAGGCTTTTGCCTCCAGTGCTCCTGTTCTCCCACGGAGTTGAGAAAGGGACCCAAAGCCAGGCCCAGCCCCACAAGGGTCCCCTGCTAGAGGAACTGAGCCCAAAGTAAGTGCATTCCCCTGGGGCTGGAGGGCTGCTGGGCCAGGAATGACTGTGATGGAGTAGTCAGGATCCCAGGGATGGATCCCAGGGCTGGTTCTGCTGCCATGGGGACACACTCACCTTGCTCATCAGCACCAGGGCCTTGCTGGCTCTGCAGAGCCCCCAGGAGGAGGGAGGTGATGTCTCTCACTGTGGTCACAAGGCAGGTGAGGAGCTCCTGCCAGCTCTGCACCAGCTCTGCTGCCTGCATGGAGACGGCCACCTCTGGCACCTGGAGCAGGCACCTGCGCAGGGCAGCGATGGCTCCTGCAGAACAAACACCTCTGCTCACGTGCTGTCAGCACAGCCCTGCCTCTCCTGCCTGAGCCCATGGCTAACGTGGCTCAGGGGCAGGGGAGGCAACAGGGCCCTGGGTGAGGGGTGTGCAAGGCAGGGGCAGTGCCAAAACAGGGAAACCAAGGCAAGGATGTGGCACCAGCAATGGCCAGAGTCCTGCCATGATTCTGGGCTGCTCCAGGTCCCAGGCAGCTGCTGCAGGAGCTGCTCCCTGCCCTGCCCTGCCCAGCTGGGGCCGTACCATGCATTGGTGCTGTGGCTGCTGCCCGCAGCAGGTCCTGGCGTGCCACCTTGAACTGGGCCTGCAGCACGTGCAGAAGGTGCTGGGCAAAGCACAGCCCTTGGCTCGGCAGTGTCAGGGCTGCCTCAGCCTCCAGGGACAGGCTCTTCATGGTGCCACTGTCTGACCTGGGGAAACAGGCAGATCCTGCTGTGAGTACCAGGGAATTTCCTGCCCATCCTGTGCCACACAGCTCCTGCCTCCCCCAGTGCAGACAGCTCAGCCCTCCCCAGCTTCCCACTGTAAGGCCATTGCAAACCCCATCTGTAACCACAGACTGGTGAAGCACCAGTGCTGCCAACACACTCTTGGAGGGTCCTGTGCCACCACAGGGAACGGGAGGGGCATGCCAGGAGCTCATACTTCTGCAGGATGGTCTTCATCAGCACAGCTCCAGCCTCAGCCTCCTGCACTCGGGGGCTGCCCAGGGTGTCCTGGGCCAGCTGGAAGAGATCCTGGGCAATGGGCTCAGGGAATGTGGTAGGGAAGTAGCGGACAAGCAGCTCCGAGGCCAAGTCTCTGATCTGCCAGGACAGAGAAGACATGGGGAAAAGTGGGACATGGGAGAATGGGAACCATGGTGAGCTTCTCTAAGCCTGCTGGAGGCCAAGGCAGGCACCTTCACAACCTCCCCTTGGTTTTACAAAGGCTCACCTCATTAGTGCTGTCCTGCAGGCAGCTCAGCAGTGCCAACAAATTGGGCTGGGAGAAGAAGTCCCAGCAGCCTCTCTGCCTGGCATAGCTCAGCAGCGTGGCCATGGTCCCTGTGATGGGGACATGGGGTGGTGGGGTGGGACTGGCTGGGAGGATCCCCCACAGCTACAGGTGATACTCCAGGTAGCTTGCCTGTACTCACGTGGGGGCTGGCCTTTTTTCCTGTCAGGGCTCCAGGTGTCTGTGCAGGTCTCCAAAATAGCGGCCAGGAGGAGCAGAGCCGTCTTCTTCCTCTGGTAGTTGGAGCCTGGGCTGAGTGAGGCGATGCAGAGCTGCAGCAGCCATTCCACAAAGCCTGTGGGCAGAGAGCATGGCAGCAAGGGATGCCGGGCACACATGAATCTCCCAGGGCTGTGGCGCAGGTGCTCAGTGCCCGCCTCACCTACTGCCTGGGCGAGCTGCTCTGCTCCCTCTGCCGGCCCGGAGCGTCGCGGCGCCTTCCACCGCAGCTGGGCCAGCGAGCTGTCCCTGAGCCGCACCAGCGCCTTCCTCACGGCTGCCTGCAGCAGCTGCCGGAACGAGGAGGAGTCGCAGTTGAGGTTGAGGGGCAGGAAGTCCCGCAGCAGCCGCACCTCGGTGCCCGAGAGGGGCTGGTTGGTGTTGGGGCTGCAGCAGAGCAGGCCCAGCGCCGCCAGCCGAACGCCCTCCTCACGGGTGCCCAGGCAGCGGGAGAGCCGCTCCAGAGCCGCTTCCCCCAGCGGCAGGGCCCCTGCCACACTCTTCTGTGCCTTCAGCACGGACACCCAGGCCCGCAGCGACATCGTGTCCTGGCCACCAAACTGGGCTGCCAGCAGTGCCTGTGTGGCCGGGAGCTGCCGCAGGGTCCAGGTGAGGAGGTGGTTGGCACTGTTGCTCTGCAGGATGGGCAGGGGAGAGCAGAGGCCCTGGGAGAGCAGGGGGAGCCAGCGCAGTGCCCACTGCTCTGCCAGGGCCTCCTCTGTGCCCCGCTGCCCATCCCGCCACTCGCGGCACTGCTGCCGCACCAGCTCCTTGTAGGCCTCGGCAGCCACAGGACACAGGTGGTTGGTGGAGAGGCAGCTCAGGAGATGCTGTGGCAGGTCCGGGTAGGCATCCAGCACCTGGGACAAAGGCAGGTCACCCTCATCTCCCTGTCAGGCTGAAAGCTGCATGTGGGGGAAAGACACATGGGTACAGGCCACACTGCAGTCACCCTGGGCACTGAGCATCTCTGGTACCTCAAAGCTGCTTTTGGTGGGCACTGACAGGCAAAGCTTCCCTTCCCACTGGTACTCCCCAGGGATGCACTGCTGAAGCTCACTACCCCAGGGATGCTAAAATAGCCTCTCTGGGTGGGAAGGCTCCCTGCCCACACAGCTGAGCTGGGTAGAAGGTGACAGGCAGTGGACTGAGGCTGTGCCACCTCAGCAGCAGAGCCAGCTGGCACCAAGACTCCCAAACCCCTGCCTTCCCTACCTGCTGGCTGCCCATGTAGGGGACGATGGCACACAGGGGCACATATCTTGCTTTGATCTGCCAAGGCATTGAGACCACCCTCTGCAGCATCTGTTGGTAGAGGGGTCTCTCCTGGTCCTGGAAGTGCTGGCACTCCAGGTGGTAGATCTCCAGCAGCAATCGGAAGGAGCTGTGGATGAATTCAGACACACCTTCCACCTGTGGGAGAAGGACAACAAACAGGGGGGTTAGGGTGGGCTCCCTCTTGTGTCTTGCTGTCCTGTGGCTGGTGAAGCACTGGGACATGGCCCTTTAGAGCCTGTGTGTGACAAATGCCACAACCCCAGCAGTGTGACTGCCCCTGCCCTGGCACCTGCAGGCAAGGGAGTCTCTTTGGCTGATGGAGCTGAACAGCAGGGATGTGTTATGGGCTAGGGACAGCAGCTGAGCCAGGAGAAGGCAGGAGAAGGAAGAGCTGCTCCTGGCTGCCACATTTGGTGCCCTTGGCACTGTGTCCTTACCGGGGTCTCTGCGTTGTTCCACAGCAGCTGGGTGAGCTCCTTGAGGAGCTCAGAGTCCTGGGCCAGGACATGGGTCCCCATCAGGTGCCAGAGAGCAGCCAGGCCCTCCCACAGGCGCTGCAGCCACAACGCACAGGCTGCCAAAACAGAGAGCTCTGCTGCAGCCCTCCCCCACACTCACCTGCACCAGGGCCAGCACAGGCTGTGGCCTAAAGGACCCTGTGTGCAGGGGAAGCAGTTCCTCTGTTAAGTACACAAGACCCCAAGAGGGCAAGTGTCCATTGGGCAGGAACAGAAATTAATAGCAGTTTCCAAACCAGCTACCAAGACCCAGCACCTTCCCTGGGAAGCACCTTCCCAGCCCTCCCCACATGGCAGGGTCACTGTCCCCTACCTTGGAAGCAGTAGTAGTGGCAGTCCTTCTGCTCCCTGCTCAGGGCACACACAGCAGGAAAGACCACGTCCAGCAGCAGGCAGGCCTGCAGGGGCACAGCAGCTCAGGGAGAGGGCAGGCACAGAATTTCCAGGGAGAAAACCCTGCCATGAGACAGGCAAGGAGAGTGCTGCCTGGTCCTCCTGCTCTCACAGAGCACACCTCTGCTCCCTGCCTGGCAGTGCTCAGCCCGTGAGGACCTGGGAGAGGCTAGAGCTGGGCAGAGATGAGGCTGTGCTCTGCAGGGACAGCCCCAAGTTCATGCCATGGGAACACAGGGTAAACACTGCTTTGCTTGTGTAGGGGCTTTTGGCATCACTTTGTTTCCCACCTCCCCAGCAAAGAGAAATCCTTGCTGGGATGTCTTTGGAAAAAGCTCTTTGGCCAATGCCTGTGCTCAGTGGGATGCATGGAGCTGCTGGTGGAGGGGTGCAGCCTGGCTTCATCCCCCAGGGATCTGCAAGCACCACAGACAGCTGCCAGCCCTCTCCAAGGGCTTCCTCCAGCCCTGTCCACCAGATTGGAGCTCTCCTACCTTGTTGGGAAGGCTCTCCAGCTGGCAGCTGAGGATGTCCATCTTGCAGCATGTCAGCACACCTCTGGTAAGCACCAGCTTCTCCAGCCCATCTGCTTCCAGGACAGGGGGCACTTCCACCACCAGCTCCCCAAACTTCAGTTCCCCAGTGCCTGCTGGAAAATGGCCCCACTGGATGGAAGGAAGGTGGCAAACCCAAATGTTGCTCTGAGAGCAACTGCCATGCCTCATTCCAGAGCATCCAAGGGAGGTGGCCAGAGATAGTTTGGGCCCCCAGACCCCGAGAGAGCAGCAGAGTCCAGCCTGGCACCAGCGCCTGTCCCCTCACACCCAGACACGCCTGCCACCCTTTGCCAGAGGCCCTGCTCAGCTCAGGATGGAGCACACACCTTGGCTGGGCAGCTGGAACAGGGTCAGCACTGCACTGGCCCCGTGCTGGGGCTGGGGGGCCGTGTTCACCAACATACTCAGGGCTGTGCCCGCCAGCAGCCTCGTGTCCTTGTTCAGGGCCTGGACTCACAGGGAGGCAAAGGCACAACTCAAACACCATTGAAACCCCAACCACATTTAACTGTCCCTGCAAACAGCTACATGGGGTCTCTCAGACATGACAGACACTGAGCTGTCTCTGCAGGCTTGCCCTGGGCATGGGAATGGGGAAAGCATCTGGGAAGGACAGCACTGCTCTGCTCCTTGGGACAGGCAGTCCCACCCCTCCCAGGGCTGTACCCACCTTCCCCCAGGCCACCTCCAGCAGCAGTCCCAGGAGGCTCTGCAGGGTTTCACTCTTTCCTGATGTGCTCCACACCAAGGGAGCCACATCCTTTGGCAGCACCTGGAAGACCTGGAGGCAGGCCTGGAGGAGCAGGAGGTGACACAGGGATGATCAGTATTCCTTACCTCTGAAAAAGCAGCAATGCCCCGGGAAGGGCCATTCAAAGCAGCGTTACATCCCTCTGGACACTGCTGCCGGTGCCCAGCCTGTCCCTGCAGGTACCAATCCCTCCCCCCTGCCCAGGGTGGCTCTTACCTTGATGACCAGGTAGCCCCAGGTGCTGCCAGGTGTGGGCTGGCCCTGCAGCACCCAGTGCAGGGTGCTGGCCAGGCGCTGCAGCAGCAGGGGCAGGTTCTGCCGCCAGTGCTGCCGGCCCAGGCTGCTCTCCTCCAGGAACATGGACACTGCAGGCAAGGGAACAGCATCAGCCCCCGGTCCTCCTGCTACCAGTTTAGCCAAGAGCGGTGGTGAGTGAGGTAAGAAGGGGCTGGGATGCAGGGGATGCTTTGGCTTGTCTGGGACCTTGCAGAGATCACACGGATCTGGCTGATCCCTGCTCCCCTCCCATGAGCACAGAGGACCCAGTCTGGGTTGGCAGGAAATGTTCTGTGCCCTCGTGGTGTGAGCTGGGAGAAAACCCCGGAAGGTAAAGAACAGAGGCTGACCTGACTGAAGGTCCTCAGGAGACAGCACCTGCAGGGACAGAAGGATAGTTTGTCCTGTGTGACAACATGCTGGGGCTCAGTGCCTTGGTCAGGAGGGTTCTGCCAGTGCCAAAAGCTGCCCCAGGGATGAGCAAAGGTGACAGACAGCCACGTGTTGCCAGCTGCAAGCAAGGGCAAATCCCCAGAATCATGGGAAGTGAAGTGAAGGACTGGAGGCAGCCAAACCAGGTCTCTGTGACACATGGTCTCCAGATAAGTCCCCATGTAAGCCAGTGACACTGCACAGCTGGGGTTCTCTCACCTCTCCCTGCAGAGCCAGGCCACTCAGCAGTGTGTCCACCTCCTGGGCCAGCAGGGCTTCCTTCCCCACTGCCAGCTGGGTCACCATCTGCCAACAGACACCCCAAGTCAGCTGCTCTGCCCAGACCCCAGGGCAACACCACTGCCAAGAGCTACTGGGGGAGCCTGCACCACCTCTGAGCCCCTTTGCTGGTAAGGATGGCAGAAAGCTCCAGGGCTGTGCCACGAGTGGGCAAAGCCAGTCCAGCCTTACAGACCTGTTCCAGTTTCTGGAAGGAGCTGCAGCTGCTGGTTGCCTCCATCTGGAAAGCCAGGACACAGCGGAGCAGGGGTCGTGCCTCTGCCTCACCCAGCGCCTGCAGACCCTCGCTCAGCGCCCGTGTCAGCTGGAGAGCCTCCTCCAGGTGCTTCTCCTTGCATCTCTTGGCAGTGCTCCTGGAACAGGACAAGGGCAGGGGTGAGGATACCTCGGCTCGGCGAAGTTTGTAGCGGGGGAATGAATACCCCGTCTCAGCGGGATCTGGGCTTGGGATGCCCCAGCCGGCGGTGCTGCTCTCTCCCAGCTGCGCTCGGCATTGCCCCGGAGCGGGGACGGAGGGGCGGCAGCAGGGGGGCAGCTACACGGAACCCTCAAAGCCCGGCGCATTGCAAACCCTTGGTGGACAGAAGGGCACGAAAATCCTAAACCCTGCAGTCCTGCTGCTGCTGAACAGGCTGGAAGGGAATGGGGAGCACCGTGAGCGTGGCTCGAACCCTCTCTGGGTAT